CTCCAGGAATTTAGCGCATATTAAGTCGACAATATGGTCTTTAGTAATTTTTTCAAAGAGCCAAATCAATATGGTGCATAGCAGTTCACGTTTTTGCCATTCTCCTGAGTACATCCAGCAGCGCATGGACCCGTATACTCCACCCTTCACAATAAAGTTCATAAATGATTTCAGTTTCTGTCTAGATTCACGTGCGGTAATGCCATGCATATCGATTGGTGACTGCCCAGGAAGAAAAATCCATTGTATATCATCCCAAACTGGATTGCATGTAGGAGTGATGAATAAATCTGGACATAGGGACGAATATATGCAATTGAATCTGCAATTGGACCGTCTATATATGTATAAGCATATCCACGATGTGTTGGTGAAGCGATTAATGACATCTCAGGATACAATTATCTTCATTGCTTCTAAACATCAATTTGTATGCATAATAATACATTACACTACACTATCTGCTTCTGTGCCATCGTGTGTATTAACCGTCTTGACGTTCAAGTGATATCCATCGGCACCATTTCAGAAAATAATTGATACCTGGGGCATCGTAACACCGCTGAGTTACCATAATAATCGCCACGTCATCCAAAGTTGGGGTATTATATCTTCGCGCATGCTCTCCAGGAGGCGGTGTGTATCAGATTGCATGATGTCCATTACTGTTTTGAACAAACGCACTAAACTGTTCATCTCATGAAGAAAATTTGGTAGTTGGGAAACAATGGATCTTTTGGTGGTAGTAGCGAACATGCATCGTATATCCACTTCATCTCTATCATCTCCGAGGAAATAAATTTGAAGAAATTTGTGCTGGCCTTCCGGAAGAGGGAGCATAGTGCCTGCTCTATGGTAAAGTTGTCCTCTCATCTTGAATATTTGGCATGATCTGTCCAGTTATAATATCTGCACCTAACGGCGACATCTGGGATCAGAAAATGTATTTGCTGTTTTTTGAGAGGAATTGCTTCGATTTTTAGGTTGATCCAGACAGGAGAGTTTTTTACAGCTCAGGTGGTGCTTCAAGTTTTTGTAATTTTTTTTCCGGCCGAACAACATATTTCCTTCGTTTCACCATTAAATTTCAGTGTACCGTAATAAGTGCACAGATCATCTATACTGCCGATCACAACATGACATCTCAAACTGTAATCCTCGGCTGGGTAGAACCGAAATGCGACACGATCAGTATCTGTATGCTGATTCCTACGTACTAGAGCTTTCCTCGCTCTACTGCGTTCATTTCGTTGAGAACGAAACAAATTTCCTTCCCCGATAACGGCTGCACTTCCATCTGCAAGCTGCGTGGGATGCATTTGAGTTATCTTTATTTCTCTGGCGCTATCGTTTATGGCTTCTCGCTTTTGTTCGATTCGATTTGAATTAAATTTCTTACATCATTGTTTGTACGATGACCTACGTTGGATTTTAAGCGAGACATTATTTCGATGGGAAAAGCCAGATACATATGTATGTATGTTACACAGAAAGGTACTAACAAAATTTTAATTAATGAGACCAAACAGTTTCTTACATTGGGTAAGGTTTAAGAATATACTTATTTCTCATCGGTTTCACATGTATAGTCCGACTTGATAAAATTTTGTTGGTAAAAGTGTAAAAAACTTTTATTCTAACGTCTTTCCTAATGCTCATGGTTCTCAATTCGTTAGCTCAAAACTATGAGAAATACCTCAAAAAATCCAAAACCTTTTCTCTCACCTTAAAAACACAAAAAAACTTTTCTTGGTTTGTTCTAGGCTTTTCTCTTCTCATTGTTCTTATAGCTTTAAATTAGAACATATGAGAGATTGTACATAAAAAACTTAAAAATCTACAAAAAGGGGTAAACTATACTTACGTAGTCGAATGTAATAGTTTGATAAATTTTAAAAAGTTTGTAAAAATCTTTTATTTTATGAAATGTTCGTATACAAAATAAACTGCGAAATGGGTAGTTATTCTACACGTGTCGCTATAACTATTCTACTGGCGGTGGTGATCAGAGTCAGTGTTATCGCTCTCAGGTGATAGAAATATGAAATAAATACTCTTTCGCAAATACTAGTATATGTGGATTGCGATCGGTAGAACAAAACACTTGCATTGGTTGGATCACCATCCATTAAAATATAAATTTTTTAAATAGATCAATCCACATCCCGTAAAATAAAAATCAAACAAAAAAGTAACATAAGTATAATAATTTAGTAGAAAGTGCATTTTGCTTGTTAATCTAAGCAAAAATTCACCCCTGGGTACCGATTTTCAAGTTATATGGTCCCTAAACAAGTTTCTTTGAATAGGTCAGTCCCTGGTCCACTTCCCGGAATGTAGAAGAGTCTTCCTATTATTCCAAGTAAAATGACACCCTCATACCGAATTTCAATTAATTCGATCCATAAATATTTTTTTTTTTTTGATAGGGACTGCCCTGGTCCACTTTCCGGAGAGAAGTGTAGCCTTCCTGTTAACTTAAGCAAATAAATTAAAATTTTTTATGCATTCAATGAGTCTGTGCGTCAGCGAAGAATTGCAGGGCACAACTAGTTGCATATAGTTTGTTTATATTGTTGACGTTTTCATTTAAGCTTTGATCTGTATTGTTGTTTTCATTAGTTTGGTGGCTCACACGATTGTTAGTACTTCTTTGATTGTTAGGATTGTCACTGCTTTACCATTGTTTGTTAATGTGTTTGATTTCGTTTATATTTTCGATTTCGTGTTTAAATTTTCGATTTGTAGATCTCTTAGAAGTTAACTTTTCGCGCGAATGAGATGTCTTCATTGATTTTCCTGACTTCGTGGTGGCTGGTTGTCCCGGCAAAACGTTTGGTTTGCAATATTGTTGCCATTATGAAAAGGCTCTTGATTACCGTGCCGTCCTCAATCGTTGCAATGCTCAACAGAGGTTCCTTTACCTGTGTTTGGTATCAGTTTTGTACCCGTTGTAATGATTGGTCCTTCATGTGGTTGGCCTGTGCTTCCGTACTCGTCAGACACGTTGAAAGATATTTTTTCCCTGCAGCTTTAGATTACAGTTTGAAAGTTTTCCTTCAGACATGTCTTCATGCATGTGAAGCATTTTAAGGAATGAAATAAAGTATCAAAAACATGGGCTTTATACTTCAATGTATTTGAGGTAGTGGTTTTTTCATTTTTGTCCCTGTTATCTCCCAAAGTAACCACTATTCAAAATTCTATATATCAGTAGTTTGGTGAGTTTTTTCCACCAAACCAGTTGATTCGAGTTTACTGAATATTGTATTTCTTGACGTAGAACAAGCATTCGCCAAGTTTTGGGATACAGGTATTTGACACAAAATTTATAAAGCTTCAATCGGAATTTATCTCTGAGGTTTCCAGTAAATGCTGGTATTCGTCAAGGACTTATTTTTGGCCCCATTATTACGTACACTTCAGACGTCCAGTAAACCGAAAACTGCAAACATGTACTCTCGCGGATGACACAACCATATAATGCCGCTTTAGATGTCATAAAAAGCATCGAAATTTTGCGACCATTACTTCTTTAAGAATGGCTGGAAAACTGCAGCAAAAGTTATATTATATCTATTGTATGTTTGTACATACATATGTGGAACTTTGTCGATTGCTTTCTTGGAGTCTACGTCAGATGTGTGTAGATTTCTCTGTCCATTTGTTTCTTTTGCTGTGGTAATTATGATGTAAGTTGGTCTTTGTATCCTTGATATCATTTCTGTTTATTTGTAAGAATAACCAAGCGTTTGCTCTGTGTTTGCAGGTTTTGAGTTTACAAGAATTGTCAGGTGTTTCCATTAGGTGTTTGCACGGTTGGTGCTTCGCAACCGCTGAAGCGATTTTCGGCTTACTCCAATATGGGGCTTTGCGTCTTGATTTTTTCCGCAATTAGAAAATTTAGCTTAAATTTTAATTTAAATTAAATTTCTATAACTTTTTGAACGTTGGTACGTTGGAACAATCACAAAAACATATTCAAATATTGACAATATGTTCAACAGTGCTGCCTTATATCGATAAGAATGATAAAACATAAAAGAAAAAATTACGTAAAATGGACATTGTTGCCAGTCGCAAATAATGAAAGCCATTCATTCAAACACACTGTGAACCGTGAGTTTGCGTTATGAAATAATACTTATGTAAATACATATGGAATTATACAAATGTTTAGAGCGGTGTTTGCGACTAAACACGCTAGCGACTGCAAACACAGAGTTTACACTTGGTGAAATTGGCCTATAAGGTGAGCGTAATTTTTTTGTGTAATAGATGAGTTTATTATTTTATGCAGAGTGAATACGCATTTACACGCCGGGTAAAAGGATTTATATAAATATTATTATTCCTTGGTTTAGAAAGGAATAAAGGCATCTAAAAATTAATGTTCTTAACAAGTATTGGTGTATGTGATTTTTCCATGGATGTTTTCAGTTGTGCATAGTTTTTATAACTGTTTCTAGTTTTTGTGGACATTGTGATTTTCTTGTGTTTTTAGACTGATACTTTCACTTTATGTATTATCTATTATTTCCATAGACCATATTTCTTCCTTGTACTTCTGTATAATTATTTTGATAATTTGTGATTATCTTGTTATTCTAAATAATGTTTTATTACTATTATTATTATTAAATTTATTATTAAAATTAATAATACTGGTATTATTACTAGGCAAGTAATTAAAAATAATATACACATACATTCATGCACTTACATCATACATCTTCATAAGCTTTTATATATACATATGTACAATCCATGGAGTCTTATCAGTTTTTAGTGCCTATTTATTGCCGAATATTGCCTGCAGTGGCAACTGCTTCCTAACGTCATAAACATAATCGTATTATCAGCAAAAGTTTAATAGTGCTCACCTTCCCAATGTTGTTATCTTTGTATGGTTTTCTAATGCATCTCTAAGAAGTATAAATTAATGATTGCAGAACACTTTTGTTTACCTTTTTGCTGTATTATCTTATTTCCAATGCCAGGGGAAATTCAGTTCCTGCACAGATGGATCAAAGATGAGAAGGGAGGATTGCTAGTAAGTACTGACCTAATCTAATTTTTTTTTTTGGTTTTGAGTTTATGCAAACAAAAAATGTAAATTGTCTTTTATCAACTCTACTAGTTTCGTTAGCATGAGCGTTATATAAATATTAATTAAACAAGACACATTTAATTATATTCCTTAATACATACTATGTATGTACGTGGATGAAAATATAAAATACACATTTTTTCAAATTGAAATTGAGGTCATTAAAAACACAATATTAGTTTGTTTTAGTTCCGATATATTTCGGCTACTCTTCAGTAACCGTCTAACTAATGAACAACAACATAAAAACAATAAAATATATTATTTAAAAATATACTGTATATTCGTTCGTTAGCAAGTGTCTGTACAAGTGAGCGCAATTATCATTGTCCGTTTTGAAATTTTGTATTTTGTTTGTTGGTGTGTATATGATATGAAGCATTTCTATTGTATATCGCTTGGTCTAATGTTGTTCTTGTTAAAGAATTTTCATTTACTTACGTAGACACCACATACGCGATTATAGCCGATTTAAAAACAATGCGCCATTCGTTTTTTTTTTTGCTGTTTGGCGCCAATTGGAAATACCAAGTAAAACAAAGTCTTTCTCTACCAGGTCCTCCGCTTTCACCGGCGAGTACTGTATCGAAAACTTTCAACGTCGTCGTATAACTCGTGCAGCTCACCGTTCCATCGTCTACGATATTTGCCGTTGCCAACACGCAATGGACCATTAATCATGCGCAAAACCTTTCTCTCGAAAACTCCTAACGACGACTTATCTGATATTGTCATGGTCCATGCTCCCGCACCATATAGCATGGCGGGAACAATGAGCGACTTCTAGAGTTTGGTTTTCGTTCTTCGGGAGAAAACTTTACTTTTCAGTTGCCTACTCAGTCCAAAGTAGCACCTGTTGGCAACCACCGTCTCGACCGCTTCCCCAAACTTCGACCAGGACCGTTTTCGCTAGATGTTGTCGTAAGTGCCATATTTTTCATCACCAGCTATTCGTAGATGGAAATTCGGAGTGTTAGATACCCAAACATCGAGCTGCCTTTTGAATCTAAGGTTATGCAAATGGTTCCAAAAGGTTTTCTGGCTTATCTTTAGTTCCTCAGCATTTAAATAAGTGCTCACGTGACGCTATGTTTCCACCATTGCCATAATTATATCGCGTGGTGCATCTTTGACATCGAAATTACCGGAACGGAGCCTAGCAAATTACTTTTATGCTAGTTAACAGTAACGGGCCCATAAACTAAAGTTTATTTATTAAATATAAACATTACGTATTGAAGAAACAAGAAAAGCAAATGCCTGAAATAACAGCTGAATTAAAGAGACAACTGAATACAGAGGATTTGCGGACAAACTAACGACAACTATAAGGAACAATCAGGAACAAAAAACTGTTAAGATGCTGAGAAAACACTTCAATATATTTAACAATAATAAAACGGATGATTGGTTTGTTAACAAAGCCAAGGTGCAGTTTTCATAAAATTGGCGCATACTGGCTTTAACAAAAACTTCTTTTGTGTTTGTTTGTTAATTTCCTTTGTTTTGCCTAAGTTTTCTTTCATTCCAAGCGGAGGCAGTAAGCAAATAGTTGCATTATTTGAAGCCATGGATTGATGGCATGATGAAAAGTGCGCACCTTTTTTATGCCGTCGAGCGTTATATAATTTCGATTCATTTTCCATTTTAGCAAATTTTTATTGCCAGCCAGGCAAAATATAGAGAAAGGCCAGTCGAGGCTGTGAGCGGGCGGTTACATAGTATATAGCTTTTCCGGCAAATAAGTGCTAGTGAGCAGAAGGGCAATTGGCCAGGAAAATTGATTTCGATAGTAGTCCGTGGTTTTGGATAGTGACGGAACCGGAGTTCTTCGACATCACCAGAGGAGCAACCGACAACGGGCCACAAACCCGACTGAGAACCGATAAGTATCATTTTGTCTATTCTTGTTGTACGCTTTTGTCGTGCCGACAGTGCCACAACCTCCGTTCATCCTAACCCATCATTCTAGCATCCTGCACCAAGAGCCCAGTCATACAGGCAGGTTAAAGTTACCCTCGGCAGCACGGGAGTAGTGCGAGTGGGTTCGTTACTAGTTCGGTTTGGCCCACACTCGGGTGCACCCCAAAATAACATTTTGTTTATTTCGTTCACTTAGTAGCATGCTTGTTGTCCACGTATTGTTTTTTATATTGTTTATAGCGTTAGTAAGTTCACTGGGTGTTATTTTTCCCTCTTTTAGATTTTGTTAGTGTATTATATGTAGTGACCACCTTTACTAAGCCGTCTTTACTAATCCCCCAACTACCCATCTAACATACCTTCCGTTCAAGGCAACCTATCTTATGAGAGCGTCATGTAAACACAAAGTTGTCACCGCTTGCTTATGCCATTACTGACGGTTGTCCCGCAGTAACCAACATCGATTTGAATATTTCCGTAAAACCGGCTCGGCTCATTTTTCGTTGCTGTACAAGGTTGCCAGTATAGTCATATTAAATAATCGAAGATAATACGTAGTTTTTTTTTTCAAAAGAAATGAAAACTAAATGCGTAACTAACTATTTGTTACCATATAGATCATGAATATTTGTCTTGCGCTTATATTCAAACATATAAATCATGAAACTCGTTGACGAAAATTATAAATTTGTTCAAAAGTGTGCAAACACACTGCCAGCTGGCAACATTTCGCCGCTTTCAGTAGCGTCGATAACTCATCTCGCTCTTCCAGTCGGCTGCTATTGTCGGAGTAAAAAGTGGAGATGACAAATTGGCGCCCACCGTGGGGTCCGATAGAATATATATTTTGGTGTAGTTTCGGTTTTGTTCCAAGATATTCCGAGGGACGTTGTGTTTTCTTGGTGTAAGAAAGGATTGATACTTAAACTCTGGCCCAGAGGAGTTTTAATTTGCCTGTACATATTACAGTGGAGTTCGGTGAGTCCATTCCGTTTTGCAATTTTTATTTTTTTAAATTGTTTTGAGCGTTCATCCTCGTAACAAAAATTGTTTGTAAATAAGGTAGATACTGGTCCAAAAGACCAGTAGTGGGCCCTCCGAATCAGATCGGGTTTTTTTTTGTACAATTCGTTAAATAAGGCAATTTGTTAGTAGTATTTATTTAAGTAAAATTTTTTTTTTTGAGTTGTGTTATCAGAGTAGACAACATTTTTTTTTTATTTTATTAACTTTTTTGTTGCTTGTGACTGAGCTCTAGCAAGTTGTTGCTCCATCTCGCCGATTCACAAGGTTCGGTAGGCTCGAGGAGCCTTTGATGGAAAAGAGGATGCCAAGTTTGGTTAGGTCGAATCTTCTTCCGTTCTACCAGATCCAGTTGGGCTTGGAAACAATAGGGTCGATAACGGAACTAGTTGGTTTGGGCAGACAAATAGAGACAGTGAGGTCGTCGGTAGATGCGTCTGTCCCTCCTACGAGCCATAAGGCCTAGGAGTTATTGGAACCTGGCTTGACTTATTTCTCGTCTGGTGTAGAAGTTGTGGCTGTAGCGGAGCCGGACCCTGTAGATAGCTTTAGGCCGGGGTTTAAGTGCTTCGGTTGCGGTAGAATTGGAATCATGAAGCGAGACTGCCCGGAGTGTGAGGCGAAGCTGAACGGCTGCCCGAGAACTCAACGAAGTACGGCTTCCGGTGACGGGCGGACCACAACCCCTTCCGTTCAGGGCCCGTTAGAGATAGTGGATAGTAGTAAACTATAGACTTATGAATAAGTGTATCGATAGGGATAGTTACCGCCTTCCATACTCGTCGGTGACCTTAGATAAACTACGGGACGCTAAGTTTCTGTCTAGTCTGGACATAAAGTCCGCTTATTGGCGAGTACCGGTAGAGAAGCAGTCAAGGCTCTTCACAGAGTTCACGGTACCATGCAGAGGACTATTTTAGTTTAACAGGATGCCATATAGTTTGCATAATACACCGGCAACTTGGTATAGATTTATAGATACGGTCATAGGACCAGAGTAAGAACCTCATGTTTTTGTGTCTGTGGAAGATATCATTATCGTCACAAATTACTTTGAGAAACATTTAGATATTTTGAAACAAGTTTTAGAGAGATTAGATAGAGCAGGGCTTAGAATAAATAGTTATAAAAGTAATTTTTGTAGGTCTGAACTGAAATATTTGGGCTACGTTGTAGACAGGAACGGGTCTACGTGTACCCGAAATGGTAGAGGCTATGCTTCTGATTGAGGTACCGAAGAACATAAAGCAGGTGCGGTCATTTATTGGACTGAAAATTTTGAAAGGAGTTTTAGAGAAGCGAAAGAGCCTTTGGTGATAACGTAGGTTGCCCGGATTTCAATAGGCCTTTCACAATCCAGATAGACGCGTCAGATTTTGGTATAGGTGCGGTGTTAACGCAGATGTTTGATGACGTGTAAAGGGACTAAGAAGAGCGAAATTTTTCATCAACAGAAAAGGAGTGTCTAGCGGTTCTGTGGGCGGTTGAGGAACTGCGACCGCATGTTGATGGCGCTCAGTTTACGGTCGTCGCCGATCATTATTCACTTATTTGGTTGAATATGTTGAACTAACCGTGTGGTAGGTTACCGATATGGGCTTTGAAACTCCAGTAATATGATTTTGATATTGTAGATCGGAGAGGCAAGGAACATGTGGTTTCTGATATGTTAACCCAAAGTGTTCCAACCAAATATATATTAAGAAGGAACTCCACTTAGGCCAATATGTTCATCTGACGCATATACATCATACAATCTGTGCAAATATTTAGTTAATATATTGACGAACATAACCACTAGGTCAACATTTAACATTAAGAACACATTCGACTTGAAAGAAAGGATAAACGGCAGCTACATCTGTGATGATGAAATATATTTTTCCTTTGACGTTATCTCACTGTTCCTAAGTATACCAACATATCTCGCCCTGGACACAATAAGGAAAAATTAGGGAGTAATTAGGCAGTATACGAGGATACCCAAAGAACTATTT